CAGCCACTCCTCGGAAGGAAGATGGGGCAATCTACTTCCATAGTGATATGCCACGGAAACCCAAGGAGGGGTCGCTATGAGTCAGGTCCGACTTGACGGCACGTAACAATAACAATGTATTACAAGTAATCTAGAGATGATTTAAGTACAGAGGAGGATGTGTGTGGGTTATATGCAAATACTACACCATTTTATATAAGAAATTTGAGCATCTGCAGATTTTGATATGATGGGAGGTCCTGGAACCAGTGCCCCATGGATACCAAGGAATGACTATATTTGGAAGATGTGCAGTAAGTCAGTGAACCAATGTTTTCCAACTGACTGTGGATAATGTGATGGTTAAGCTTGTGTGTCAACTTGGCTGGGCCATGAGTCTCAGAGGGACCTACTACCACCAAGAAAGAAGAGCTGGGAGCGAAGTGCATCCTTTGGACCCAGGGTCCCTGTGCTGAGACTTTCCAAGACCCAGGGGAAGACTGATGACAAGATATATGAAAGTCTCCAAGAAATGCCAGACCCACAGATGTTGAATGGAGACAAGGATCTTGCTCCAGAGCCAACCACAGAGAGTGAGCCTTCCTCTAGGGCTGGTGTCCTGAATTCAGACCTCCTAATTTAGCCTCCTAAACCGTGAAAGAAAATGTCTGTCTGTTAAAGCCATCCACTTCTATTATTTCTGTTATGGCAGCACTAGATAACTAAGGCAGATGATGGTGCAAAGTGATGTATGGGTAAAAGATCCATTCCAAATGGAGGAGACAGAAATGGACTTTAACAAAGTATAAAAAGTTTACTGATATGGCTTCAGATCCCACATTCTAACAAACTTGACCTGTCAAATTTTGGTGTGGTATCAAAAAATATCCAATTATCTGTTGTTGTTGTTTTTGTTGTTATGTGCCATCGAGTCGGACCTGACTCATAGCGACCCCTCCTTGGTTTCCGAGGCAGTATCACTACAGAAGTAGATTGCCCAGCCTTCCTTCCGAGGAGTGGCTGGTGGATTTGAACCACCAGCCTTCTGCTTAGCAGCCAAGTGCCTTAGGCACTACGCTACCAGAGTTTCTTTCCAATTATCTAAAAACCTGTAATTCTTCTCCCTATGTCAACTACTTATCTGTTTGAGACGAAATGTTCTTCTTGTACTTCATATCTTAACCATCACTTCATGTAAACCACAACATACTGCAAACCCCTAACCCACAGTATACTCAGAAATCAGTACCAGTTAAGTAAGATCTAAAAATAAAAAGCAAAATAATAAAATTTCCAGATTACAGGCAAAAAGCTTCATTACCTTAAAATTGCGAAAGACTGCTCAAACACAAAAGTACTAATAATAAAGGAAAATATTGATAAATTTGACTACGTTAAAATGAGTAATTTCTGTTCATTAAAAGTCACTAGAGGGAAAAGACAAGTCAAATAACAAAAGATATTTGCAACACAAATAGTATAACAAAGGGCTCAAATACAGACCACATTATTGTTAGCTGCCATGGAGTCAGGCCCCAACTCATGGCAACCCCATGCACAACAGAAGGAAACGCTACCCTGCCCGGTACCATTCCCATGATCAGCTGTGGATCAAATGGTTGATGGTTCAGTGGTAGAATTCTCACCTTCCATGACGGAGACCTGGCTTCAATTTCCAGTTACTACACTACATGTGCAGCTACCATCCATCCGTCTGTCAGTGGTGGATTATATGTTGTTATGATGTGGCATCAAGATTTGAGGAAGACTCTTTAACAACCTGTCATATGCTGATGACATCATTCCTTGCTGAAAGTGAAGGTGATTTGAAGCGCTTACTGATGAAGATTAAAGAATAGTCTTCAATATGGATTATACCTCAACACAAAGAAAACAAAAATCCTCGTTAATGGACCATTAAACATTATGATGATCAATAGAGAAAAGACTAAAGTTATCA